TGAGATTTTTTTTTTTTTACTTCTACTACACTAAAGAAAGAAAACACACATGATAGGGCAGACTCATTTCCCTCAGCAACTGAAATTGCTTTTCACAGTCTCTACAAAATAAACTATCGCCAAAAGAAAACAAATAAGCAAAATCCCAATTTTCAAGAGAGAAAATACTATGTATGTTTAAAACTACCTATGTTAAAGCTTTATGTGATTAAAACAAATTACCACATTTATTGAAATATCAATCACAATTATTATAGACAGTTTAGAAAGCAGGAAAGGCTGTTTATAGTATATTACTTTTTTAAACTAAGTGTAAAAATTGTAAATTAGAGATTAGCCAGTTAAATAAATCATATATTCTTGGAGTTTTTCTAGGAAAAGCTCTAACATCAAAAATCTGTTTTATAATACAGTCCCCTTTGGTTGGTTGGTTACTTCCTTCCCTGGTATGTCTTGATAGGATTAATGTTCTTCTTAACCTTACTTCCCTTCTCCCACACTTCCCTTACCTAACTTATAATTAAATTAGAAAATCTTTGCTCTTCTTTTTTTTTTTTTTTTTTTTTTTTCTAGCCTAGGCTAGAGTGAGTGCCTTTGAAATGTAGATATCGACCCAGGCAATGCTGTTTGAGTGATCCTTCTGCCTCAGCCTCCCGAGTAGCTGGGACTACAGGCATGCGCCACCATGCCCGGCTAATTTTTTTTTTTTTTTTTTTTATATATATATATCAGTTGGCCAATTAATTTCTTTCTATTTATAGTAGAGACGGGGTCTCGCTCTTGCTCAGGCTGGTTTTGAACTCCTGACCTTGAGCAATCCGCCCGCCTCGGCCTCCCAAGAGCTAGGATTACAGGCGTGAGCCACAGCGCCCGGCCATGCTCTTCTTAAGCATTACGTCCAAAGCCAAAACCAAAAAGAAGACAGCTATAAGGCCCAAACAAAACAACAAATAAGAAAAACCCCAGAACAAACTTACCCTATCACCACAAGCAGCACCATAATAAACAAAGTTAAAAGAAAATTTTTTTAAATATATGACTATCTTTTAAAAGCCAACAAGAAAAAAACCCTAGAATAAAAATGAACTACATGAACAAGTAGTTGACTAAGAAGAAATACGAATGGCCAAAAAATGTGAAAAAAAGTTTAATCTGACTAGTTATTTTAAAATGCAAATTAAGACTATATTGAGATGTTTTTGCTTATCAGATTGGGGAAAAAGGAAATAGAATTATAAAGCCTGATGAGAATGTGATCAAATCTGCATGGAAATAAAACTTATGATAAAGAAGAAAAGCCTTTAAAATGGGCTTAACTAATTCTGACACAGATCCATAAGGAAACCCAAACAGGCAGAGGTAGAAAGGACTGGGAGGCAACTCTCATGTCTATTATTAAATTAAGGGATAAGCTAAATGCATGCACACAGGAGAATGCCATACAGTAATTATAACAAATATGTTTCCGTGGAACATGAATAAATCTCAAAATCAGTATTTAAGTCTACTATGTAAGAAAGAAAATGATATTTTTAGTAGAGTATCATCTATGTATATTAAATGCACATATGCAAACACCACTATAAAATTTTCAAGATATACAGATTTCTACATAGAAGAATGGACAATGAATTGAAAGGATACATATTAAATATGGTAGAATGGACACTTGGGAGGAAAAAAGATGGGGAATGAAGGCAATAATAGTAACATGAAATAAAATATAAGAGAAGTCTTGCCTGGACTACTGAGCAATGAACTGAAATGTATGAGAAATTCAACTTTCAGCAGCTGAGGGGCCTGTCTATGGCACCAGCAAATGTACTTTCTGCTGGAATCTATTCTAAGACAATAATCCAAGGAATCTCCAGTGACTTTCCACTTTTTAAAAGAGAAACTTAAAGAAACCCGAAATATAACATATTTCACAATTATAAATCATAAATGTAAAGACTGTTGATTTTTCACACGCTGAACACATCCATGCAATCTTCCCAGATTGAGAAATAAAACATTTTCAACTCCTAGAATCCTTTGAGTCCCTACCAAAAAGTAACTACTATTTTGCTTTCCCACACCATTGATTAGCTTTGTCTATTTTTGACCTTCCTGTAAAAGGAATTCTGCAGTGTTTACTCTTTTGTGTCTGCTTCTTTCATTCTTTGTTATGTTTGTAAGATTAACCCATGTTCTTGCAAGAGATACTATATTTCAATGTATAACTATATGACAATTTATTTATGTTACTATTGATGAACATTTAAGTTGATCTCAGTTTTTTATTATTATGGATAAAGCTATATGCATGAACATTCATGTCCATGTTTTTTGGGACAAATGTATGCTTTTCCTTTTGGAGGAGTAGTAATCTAGGAAAGGAACAGTTGGGTCCTGAGATTGCAGCTAATCAGCTTTAGTAGATAGCAGCTTTAGCAGAAAAATAATTTTCCAAAGTGATTTTGCCAATTTTTACTTCCACCAGCAGGGTTTCAGTTGCCACATCCTCACCAACACTTGGGAATTGCCAGTCTTTTTAATTTTAGCCATTCAGGTGGGTATCTTGCTCTCATTTTATCTTATTTTTCATTTAAATCTGTTTCTGATTTAATTTCCTTTTAAATCTAGATTAGGTTTCATAATCTAACACTTCTACTACTTTTCTTTTAAGGATTTTATTTTAGTTCCTGGGGCTATTTGTTTTTTATTATTATTTTCTATTGTGGTAAAATATAAATAAGATTTACTAATTTAAACATTTTAAAGTGTACAATGCAATGGATTTAGTGGATGCACAATGTTGTAGAGGCATTACCACTCTTTTAGTCTACTCTGACTGCCATAACAGGATACCACAGACTGGGAGGCTTATATTTGTTTTCTCATAGCTTTGGAGGCTAGAAGTCTAAGATAAGGTGCCAGAAGGGTTGGGTTTTGGTGAGGCCTCTCTTTCTGATTTGCGGACAATCCTAACTTCTTGCTATGTCCTCGCGTGGTCTTTCAGATGTTGGGGGAGAGAGAGAGACAGAACAGAGACAGAGACAAACACAGAGAGAAACAGACAGAGGCAGGGAACACCTGGTGTCTACTGTCTTCCCATCGCTCTCTTAATAGTCCCTCAGTGCCATTCCATCATACTTATTGGTCAACTTACCAAGTGCAGATCAATCATTCTGCCTTCTCTGCCTTACATATTGCCTCTTGTTTATTGCTGGAGAGAACTACACCACAATTCAGACTGGTACCTCCAGATATAGAGGTCTAACCTTAAGTGGGCTCACCCTTTCTCCATCCTCACCCCTACCCTACTCCAGACTATCTTGATCTTCTGATGACTGAAATAAACCCCTGAGCAACTCCTGGCTCTTCTTTAATCTTTATTTCAGAGGGATCTTCCCCAAACACAAAGCTGGTCACATTACTTCTTAAATTACTCTCTAATGGCTCCCACTGTCTTTGGGATATAGTAAAATTTCTTTTAGATATTGTATAATACCACCAGTGTTGTTTTTAAACAGACAAAGTTTGACAAATGCCAACGGTTGTATCATTCTATCAACACTAAATGTTTATTAAACACTTCTATTTCGGATCCCAGGAATATAATTAGATCCATCAGCATTAAATGTGAAATATTTGGGTTGGGTTTTTCAGTTTAATTTTTTAAAAATTTTGGCAGGACCAAAAATGCTAGTTTTTATAGTTTCTAAAATCGAATCTGCAATTGATAGGAAAGAAACACCATTCAGAAAGCACTGTAGGAAAGTTTTAAAATCAAGTTTAAAAAATGATTTACGTTTTTTTGGTTTTTTTGAGACAGAGTCTCACTTTGTCACCTGGGCTAGAGTGCAGTGGCATCTGCCTAGATCACAGCAACCTCAAACGGCTGGGCTCAGGTGATCCTCCTGCCTCAGCCTCCCATATAGCTGGGACTACAGACATGTGCCACCATGCCCGGCTAAATTTTTCTATATATTTTTAGTTGGCCAATTAATTTCTTTCTATTTTTAGTAGAAACAGGGTCTCCCTCTTGCTCAGGCTGGTCTTGAACTCCTGACCTTGAGCCACCTGCCCGCCTTGGCCTCTCAGAGTGCTAGGATTACAGGCGTGAGCCACTGTGCCCGGCCATGATTTAAGTTTTGATCATTTTTATATTATAAAAGTAATATAATGGTAACAAATAAAAGTCATATAAAAAAGATAAAGCCAAGTGCAGTAATAATAATAATTATATAATAATAATTCCATTCAAGCAAATATATATAGTATAGTTCTCTGAGGACACCTTTTCTTGTTACCCACAATCCAGGACTTGCATAGTTTGGTGTCTCTCCTAGTTTCTTCCTTTCCTGTCTCTCATCTCATCTCCTTTGTCTCAGTGCTTTCCTCTTATTTCTTCACTCCTTGCTTTGTCTTCCCTTTGCACTTTTTTTTCTGGTCTTAGGCTTCCCTCTTTGCTGTCCTGTTTTCTTCCCTTTTCTCCTCATTTCCCTCTCCACCTTCACTTGCTGTGCCCCTCACCCAACTCCTGGCTTCTTCTTATGTTGTTTTTTTTTGTGGCAGACAGGCCCTTGACCTGACCTTAATGCAGCCTCAGCCTAGCCCTGGGTTCCTATCTCAGAGTTCTGAGCCCACCACCCAGAAATCTACCTTTCTCGTTAGGATTTAAAGAGAAGTGGTTTGTTCTTCCCTGAATGAGAAGTCTTTCGGGCACTACAGGACAAAGTAATTTGGTAGACAACCTTTTCAATATTCACAAAGGTATTTTGTTTTTGTTTTTTTTTTAAATAATCAAGAGGATCCTTTATTTTCAATATAGATAGTATCATAATTCATCAAAATAATTTATAATAGTCAACTGCCTCTTAAATATTGCCTTATAAATGATGCCTTTCTGAAGCTAAAAGTAATGTGAATTCAGTTGTTTTAAATTATCTATTTAGAACATATTCAATAAATGATAGAAGTAAAAAAAAAAAAGTCTCCTATGAAGTCTTCTACGAAAAGAAATCACAAGTTCCTGATCAGATAAATACCATTCCATCATTAAAGGAAATTTTAAAAGAGGCATAAATTTGAATAGAAATGTCCATTTCCTGGGTTTTGTCCTTCTGTACAAACCCAAGTCTTTAAAATTATATTCTGGTTTCCCTCTATAATCAAGAAATTCTTTACTAGCAGCTCAGACATGATCGTAGTGAAACACACTTCTTCACCTGTGGTCTCCCAGATCTGCCAACATGCCCAGGCATCTCCAGGACAGGGAGATGGTCATCCTCCCCAAGCTGGCTTGCAGAGGAAGCAAAGCCCAGTGGACCACCATTCCAGCCATGGCGCCCACCTTAGCCTTCTAAATGCCACTGCTGGGAGGAGGAGCCATCGCAGATTGCCATAGCAACAGAGCCTTTTTGACCCAGTGGATCCACCGCTCTCAGGCACTGTCCAACTGACACCTGGTATAGCCGATTATTTTTCCCAAAGGTCCACTGCTGGGATCCTCCTGACCCGTGGCACTGCATGAGTCGTGGTGGGTCTGACGAGCGAGTTTCCGACATATCTAGACACAGGAGGTTATTTAAAACCAATTCATGCTCTTCATTATAAATCCAGATCTGATTTGGGTCACCATAGTCACAGGCCTTGAGCACTACTAGGCTTCCCTTCTGACTTGGACGTCCCTGGGCCACCAAACACTTGTTGGTCTGGAGGTGATAGAGCCTTCCACGTTGAAGGACTTTGGGGCGTTTCAGCCCCCTGTTGATAAAAATGGGTTGCTGGGGTTTGGCATGGGGCCCAGATATCTGCATCTCTGGGTAAATGTTATCCAAATACCATTTAAATGATTTGCAACCCAATTTCTTCCTTAATTCAACACGCTCACTGATATTTCCATAGCTTTTGGTCTTGAGATCAGGTCTTAAGGAAAAATACTGCTCCTTGTATTCATCCAACCAGATGTGTGCCAGTCTCAAAGAGTTGTGTGTCATGGTGTCCTGGCCTTCAGGAGATCCATATGGTCATCTTTTTCGGAAAATGTGTCCCACTCTGGGGCAAGGGATGATGAAGAGCTTACCTCCACACATCCAGATCCGAAATGATATTTCCAAATTTTCTCCTCCCCAGATATCCATGCCACTGTCGTACTGCCCAAGGTCATGGAAATACTGTCTGTTCATGGCAAACAATACTCCAGCCATTGTAGGTGACTTTATGGGGGCAGTGGCTCCTTCTGCTCCTCCTAGCTCAGAAAGGGGAACAAGGTCCCATTTGAAGTGCAGCCCCCAGTTGAACCCTCCACGGACAACAGGGGACGAGCTGTAGGCGAGGGTGTCAGCACTAATGATGTCGATCACTGGGCACACCACGGCCTGCCTGTCCTCGTGGATGGTGGCCAGCAAGGTCTGCAGCCACATCACGTCCACTTCACAGTGGCTGTCCAGGAACACGAGCACTTCTCCTGTTGCATGGGCTGCTCCGATCATTCTTCCTCGAATCAACCCCTCACGCTTTGTATTTCTTATTATTTTAATTTTTCCAGGGAGGTGTTTATGAACATATTCATCTAGTTCTCCTTTCAAATCATCAAAGTCACTGTCATCATCCACGAGGATGATTTCATGAAGAAGATGTGTGGGAGTGTGGTCGATGACACTGTGCACGGTCCGGAGCAAGGCGGAAAACGCTTCATTGTAGAAGCAAATAACAACACTAGCGACTGGCAGGTCAGTCGGGTAGGACTGTTCTTTACATGCAGCATTCCTTGTGTCCGGCACATCTCTATGGTAGCCTAAGCGGTTACTGATAAGCATATTAAAGGCGTGTTTCTGATAGCCCAAGTCTCTCAACTCCTGATCGCGTTCATTAAAAATCATACCTAATTCAGAAGAGAATTTCAGATGGCCGTTTTCTGGATCTTCAATATGACCATCTATCACATCATCAATTTTGTTTCCTTTGAACTGTGGCTCTAATACTCGATTTGGACCACGAGTAAACCGGGGATAGAATTTTTTGGGAAATGGTCCATGGGGCCCAGACCCCTTGATGGGCACATTCTTAAGTGGCTGAGTCACTTCACTGAAGTTGAAATAAACGAAAAGTAAAACTGTCCAGGTCGCGGATGTAAAAAGGCACCCATAACAGAAATATCGAACTGTGGCACTTCCCATTACAGACCTAGCATAGCTGAAGGGCCATTTTCAATTTCCTGGAGCAGCAGCGGCTGAAGCTATAAGCTGGCGCTGGAGGCTGAGTGCCTACTAGCCACAAAGGTATTTTTTTTTATTTTTATTTTATTTTTTTTTTTTTTGAGACAGAGTCTCGCTTTGTTGCCCAGGCTAGTGTGAGTGCCGTGGCGTCAGCCTAGCTCACAGCAACCTCAAACTCCTGGGCTCGAGCGATCCTTCTGTCTCAGCCTCCCGAGTAGCTGGGACTACAGGCATGCGCCACCATGCCCGGCTAATTTTTTTTTATATATATATCAGTTGGCCAATTAGTTTCTTTCTATTTATAGTAGAGACAGGGTCTCGCTCTTGCTCAGGCTGGTTTTGAACTCCTGACCTTGAGCAATCCACCCGCCTCGGCCTCCCAGAGAGCTAGGATTACAGGCGTGAGCCACCGCGCCCGGCCCACAAAGGTATTTTGAATGGGAATGAAGAAGGAGGCAGAGGTTTTTGCACCCAGTCCTCTCTCTTGTGGTTGAGGATGGGATTGTTCATTGCTCCACCCCGTTTATTTCCTTATGTTCCTGTCTGGAACTTGAGACTGGGCTGCACAGTGTGATCTGCTTTGCCATGAAAAGAGGCAACTTTGACCACATTCATTAAACCTTTAGCAAAAATGTATTGAGCACCCACTGTGAACTAAGCATGAGTCCTTAGGGGTGCAGCACAGGTCAAGTCTCAGAATGGGCCTGCCTCTACTTAAATTCCATGTAATTAGCTGGGTGGACAGAATGGGGCCTTCCAACTAGCAATGGTGGAAATACCATCTCCCTGGATGCTCTCAGCCAAGAGAAGAGACAATGTTGACTCCATGTAAGGATGGGATCTAGAACTCTTCATACAAACCTCAGGGCAACTTCTAGCACCACTTAATTATCCCTCTTCCTCTCTACTCTCAGCTGACTGCCCAAAATGCTACGTTTGGTTTTTTTCTTTTTATAATATTATGGAGGTACAAATGTTTTAGTCACATAAATTGCTTTTGTACAGTTGGAGTCAACGTTATAAGTATGCTCATAACCCACATAGTATGCATTGTATCTGTGTGATTTTACCCATCCCTTCTTCCCCTATTCCACCGACTTGATTTTTTTGGCTTTTTTAAAAGTAATACTAATTACCATTCCTTACATGAACTGCTTATTCATTTAAATCAACCTAGGATTCAGGACAAGTATGATTATACATACCATTAAATGTATCAGACTAAAACTGTTTGTAAGTTGTATTTGATATATCTCTCAACTTTCTTTCTTTCTTTTTTCTTTTTTTAAATTTCAGAACATTATGGAGGTACAAACATTTTGCTTACATATATTGCCTTTGCATCACCCAAGCCAGATTGTATTTGTCTGTGCTTGGTCATCAGAGCTTTTGCTTATGTAGTGTGCTCATGTACTCAATTAGAACAATTTGAGGGGTTACTGGTCTATAGTGCCTTAGGGCAAATAGATTCAGGAATGGTAACCACAGAACAATATATTTTATATTCTTGGTTTATTTCTCTAAAAAGAAATCTTGCAGAATTTATGTCAAAAAATAAATATATACACTATCCATTCTAGGTACGAATTACTTGAGTGAGCATCTAATAGAATAGCTAGTCTCAGAGATAAAGAATTACTGTATAATTTGAGCATATATAATTATAAAATGTACATATATATATAGAAGAGAGACTTTTGTGGAAACCAAAATTTAGTTGCTACTACAAGTGTATATGTTCTAAACTTTCTTGCATCTTGAGTATTTTATCCTCAAAATTAGTTTTTATATTTGAATATGTAGATATTTCATTTCTTTATGGTCTTGGAAGAAGTTAAAATATATATTTATTCATTGGAATCTATTACATAGAATTTTTAGATATTGTGAAAAAATTTTTTCTATTTCTCCATATAACAGTCTTGAGATTTTTGTTTGCTTGTATTTTAATAAAATATGAGAAGAGGGCGAGTTGGGAGTTTAATTGGCTAAAGACCTACTGTGCTTCTTAGGATGTGTAGCATTATTGATAAAATGTTTTGAACTCTTTATAGTACTGTAACTGCATGTAAAACTTCTGGAGTCAAGGACTGGATCCTCTATGCATAGCTATTGGACCCAACATACAAGAGTGGTTCATTGAATGAATGAGTCTAAATAGTTTCATAGAACTGATTCATTTACTTAAGTGGCCATTCAAATCAGTTTACTCAGTCAATTTCATTGACTTCGTGACCTCATTCAGAAATAATCTTTAAAGTGAAGAGTCATAATAAGGGAAGGGACAGAAAAGTTCCCATTGTTGTGTAGTAGTGAAAAGATGGTAGAAAGTAGTTCACTAAATTGGGTTGCATTTAAAAGGAAGATAAAAAGTTTCAGGACTATTAAAAAACCTAAACTTTTTTTTTTATAAACTAAACTTTTGAATCCCTGAATAGCAATAGGGTTGGGTGGAAACTCTGAAGACAATAATTTTAAAACAAAAACAAACTAGTCCTTTAATTATAGCATAATTATCCAGATTTCAAACTGTGAATTCACTTTTGCTTTGGTCTTTTAAATAAATTATGCATGTTTTCCATATGGGGCCCCACACCAAAACTCCTTTTAATCTGGGAAAACATTTCCAAAATCCAAGTTTGTATCCAAGCTCTGGGATATTAATTTGATTTTGGATTCTTCCATAAACTTTCCATGTTTAGAAATCTTTTTGAACTGTCCCTTGGGATACATATGTTTATATTACACATATTCTATGTCTTTTAATAGTAACATTTAGGAATTCAGTAGGAAAAAAATAATGCCCTTGTAAATTTGATCTCTTTTGCAAACATAAGAACATGAAATGTTCTTTGGTTTACCCCCCACCAAGTTTACATTAATAAACCATCAATTGTAAGCTCAACCATCCAATTCCAAAAAAATTTCCAACTTCAATATTATGGGCTGTTTTATTCTGTTGTGCATTTAACAAAGGATTAAGGCATAATGCATTTTTAAATAACTAAAATATTAATGGCAAAGGCTTTTAAGAGAAAATTTTTAAAGAATTACTCATCATAAACATGGTTTCAATAGAATTTATTTATAAAGCTATGTAGAGAACCAGGAAAGAATTATTAAAACTTAAAAAAAAAGTTTTCCTTTTATATAAAATGGTTAACTTGAAGAACTTCATAGATAACAGCAAAAAATGTGGGAGCACTTTTGTGGGCTATGAACTAATCAACAAGTGCTGAGATTTTTTATTATTTTGCCAAATTTTTGTGAGACTGCTTATAGTGAATGTGCGGAACCTGAAGAGGGATTATGTTCAGCCAACCAAACTCCTTAACTGGCCCACACTCCACCATCTTAAATGCCTTTCTTACTAGCCACTCAGGCATCTGGAAGTTCAGCTAATGAGATGAGGAAAAGTAACAGGATTTGAACCACAGCCTTGGCCAATTCAGTACTGCCTTGCTTTTAACTCTGTGTCTATATGGCACAAAGCAAAGCCAATATTTTATACTTTGTCCTTGATAGCATTTCAACTCTGATGATGGACTAATTTTCAAGGCTTTGAAAATTTCAAAGTCAGTTAATTCAACTAGAGTTGTGTTTGGCTTCATTTAACAGAAACCCACTAACAGTGGCTTAACCAATAAAGTTTTGTTTCTCAAATAAATAAAAAGTCCAGAAGGAAGCATTATGATCATTAAGAAAATCATCAGGGATTGAGGTTCCTTCTAGTTTTCTGCCCCATCTTTCATGGTGTTTGATTTTCATGATTACAAGATGGCTGCTCCATCTCTGGCATTGTACCTATATCCTTAGCTGGAAGGAGAAAGTACACAGGGCCACTGAGTATGGCAGCTGAACCTATCCCTTGTTAACAAGGTAAAAATAGCTTTCCTGCTGGGAGACTTCTGCTTATAGCTCATTGGCCAAAACTGTTTCACATGGGCCGCCTCTAGTTTGAAAGAGTTTTCTGGAAAATGGAATTCTTTTGTGTTTGGGCACTTTGGTTCCCCCAATAAAATCAGGTCTCTGTTGGTAAGAAAGAGGGGAGGTAAAAAGAATGCTGGGCAGATAAGTAAACACTAGCTGGTTATGGTGACTAAATAAATTTGTCCTCATTCTATTTTAATTCAGTTGTATAGGTACAGCCTCAATTATGTCCTCCTATAATCAAAAGATCTAAAAATATTCGATATCACAATAACAAATTTCAGCTGTCAGATCTCCCATTCTTTCCCACAGGCCTATATGGAGCCTCAGGGACTTCCCAGGTGCTTCCTATGGCATTTGCAGTACAGACAGAGTGCAGGAAGAGTGGGTCAGAAGGAAGACTTTGGCACATTTGTCTTAATCATTCTTTTCACTCATATCACCTGAGTCCCATATCATTTTGTCATAAAGATTTGAAAGCTGATGATCACACATTCCTAATTTCTGGCCTAATTCTGTTTCTGCATTAAATTACAAAACTTTTCTTCATCCCCCAATATTTCTACATCAGGTAAGTCTACAATACTGATATAAGAATAAATTGCCTAGATCAGGTGTCCTCAAACTACATGTGGGCCACATGCGGGCCGCCTAGCACGTTTATCCTGCCCTCCGGGTGTTTTTGCGGCCGCTGCCTGTCCTGCTTAGCATCCAACTTGTCACAGGCCCACAGTGCACACTCTCCAATTGTCTGAGGGACAGTGAACTGGCCCCCTGTTTAAAAAGTTTGAGGACCCTTGAACTAGAGTAAGGGTCTGCAAAATAGAGCCCACAGTCACATCTCTCCAGCTGCAATTTTGCAAATAAAATTTTATTAGAACATAGCTATATCCATTCCTTTATGTACTGTGGACAGCTGCTTTCACACCACAGGGACACAGTTGAGTAGCTGTGACAGAGACCATATAGCCTGCAAGACCTGAAATATTTACTGTATGATCTTTTACAGAAAAAGTTTGCTGATCCCTGATCTAGACAATCAGTATATTAAAGTGAGCAAATATTTCTACTGTGTGAAGATTACTTCCTCCTAAACATGTAACAGATACTTTCTCTTCT